CAGCCACCCGGGGTCGTACCGCGGCAGCGTCTCCCCACCAGCCCCCAGAGACACACGGGGTTCGGTTCAGGAAGTCTGTATTTCAACACAGTCGTGTGCATGGTTTGATCCCTGCATTTACACCCGGGGGAGGCTGTGGGCACTGCCAGGGTGTGGGTGTTTGCCCAGCCCACTGGGTAGTTACAGGGCAAGGGACGGCGCGAGCAGCTGCATCGTGCTCATGTGAACCAGGCCACAGGACAGTGGGCGAGGAAGCCACCCCCCCATCTGAGGGCCACCCCTGGCAGCAGCCCCAGCTCGCCCACCTGGGGGGAGGGTGCTGAGTACTGGAGAGAAGGCCAAGTGCCATGGGGGAGTAGCCAGGCCCCTGGGGGGACGGGCTCAGAGCCGGCTGGGCCCGGGGGTGGCGAGGCTTAGGGGCTCAGAGCCAGCCGAGCCTGGACAGGGGATCACGGGTTACAGAGACTCAGGGCCCTGAGGGCTCGTTCTCAGGCGGTGCCCAGGGCCCCGCCAGCCTCTCCCTGGCACAGAGTATAGCCAGGCTCTGAGGAGCACTGTGGGGTCGTGCCGGCCCTGCTGGCACCAGTCAGGGCCTGGTTGGCTCCCGCCATCACCACCAGGCCCTGGAGACTCAGCTGGGGTGGGCAGGGCCGGGTGGGCAGCACGGCTCACCGTGCACAGGGCGCCTCGGCTGAGTGCCAGCCCTGCGCGTCTGCCAGCAGAGCAGGGCCCCGCTGCTCGGCCCCGTGGAGCTCGGCTGCTTTGGTCGGGGCCTGCGTGCCGGGCGCTCCCTGCTGTGGCCAGGGAGTGGTGCTCGGAGACGGAGCGCAGCCTCCTGTGCGCGGAGCTCAGCGACAGAGCCCCGCTCAGTGCAGAGCCCGAGTCAGCCCAGGGCCGGCCTCAGATGATGCTGTCGTCTGTCCGCTCGCCCAGCAGCCAGTACGTCCGCATCTTCCCTTTCCCCTGGAAGCCAGAGGGGAGCAGGTCAGGCCAGCGCCACACACACCCGCGTCCTCCATGGCCCAGAGCTGGAGCCAGGCCCCCCCACCGCAGAGCCGGGGCCGCCCATGCCCTGGGAAGGGACGTCGCATCCGAGAGCTCGGCTGTGCCCGTCGTTCCAGGCCATGCAGTGAGCTGCCGAGGGGTCTCCCGGCTGCCAGGATGTGCCCTCCATGGGCACAGCTCCTGTGGTTGAAGCTGGCACAGGGGCTGCTGGGCTCTCAGCTGTGCAGGGGCAAGTCTGTGCATTCCCACGGCCCTGGCATCCGGGGCTGCCAGCCCCGCGCCTGGCCCCTCCACCTGCCCCCAGCTCCGTGCTCACCTCCCGGTGCCCCGTCGGTTCTGTACCTCCATCCCCGCTGGGGGCCCAGCCGGCCTGTCCCTGCCCAGGAGCCCTGCCCCCGGCCAGCCAGCCCCAGACTCACCTTCATTTCCACGTCCCCTCGGAGCTCCAGCTCGAAGCAGCCGAACTCATCCAGGACCTCCTTGGTGGTGGACGAGATGTGGATCTTCAGTGCTGGTCAGAGGAGGGGGAGGCGTCACCAGGGGCCAGAACAGGGGGTCTGGAGTTACACCCGCAGACCCAGCGCTTGGATCTGGGCTGGGGGCTACTGGGCAGTGCCCACGGCGCTGCTGCCAACTCACCTTGCCACGGGGCAGTGAGGGCCAGACCCTGACCGCGCCCTGCAGCTGGGCGGGCCCTGGGTGGGGGCTGGGTGAGCTGCCCCACGGGGGAGGAGACTTACCCTGCCCGTTGGACTCCATGCGCGAGGCAGTGTTCACCGTGTCCCCAAACAGGCAGTACCGGGGCATCTTCAGCCCTACGACCCCGGCACAGACAGGACCTGCCGGGGGAGAGAGCCGTCACCTCTGTGCAGGCCCCAGGAACCCCTCCCCTCCCAGGCCCCTCTAGCCCCAGGACAGCACGTCCCCCGAGTCCTGCTGGTGACTCAGAGCGTGGTGCCCCCCCGGGCCCACCCGCTAGCTGCAGGAGCCTGGTCTCTCACCGGTGTGGATGCCGATGCGCAGCCGGAGCTGGTCGTTGGGCCGATGACGGATTTTGAAGGTTTTCACGGCCTCCAGCAGCGCCAGCGCCATGCGGACGATCTCGTTGGCGTGCAGTTTCCCGTTCCGCACCGGCAGCCCCGACACCACCATGTAGGCGTCTCCAATCGTCTCCACCTGGGGACCAAGCAGAATCAAGGACGAGCACCCGCAAACGCATGCCCCGGTCTGCCACCCCAGGGAGTGCAAAGGGGAGAGACCCCACCCACACTCCCATCCCACTGAGAGCCAGGCCCCAGGCCCCTTGCCGAGGTGCACCGTCTCAGCTCCCCACCCCCTCTCTGGGGCACGGTTTCCCCCCACCCGCCCAAGTGCCAGGGCTGTGTCCAGGCCCTGCCCTGACAGCGCCATGCGCAGCGGCTGGCCAGTCTCACCTTGTACACGTCGAAGTTATCGATGATGGCGTCGAAGCAGGTGTAGAGATCGTTCAGCAGGGTCACCACCTGGGGGCGGGAAGCACAGGTGTGGGCCAGGCGCCCAGTCTCCTTGGCCACTCGCTGCGCAGCTGGCACTGACCTGGGGCGCCCAGCCACACCCACACCGCGGGCCACGGCCCCCCACGCACGGGCCAGCCCATGCTCAGAGCCCCAGGAACTGGGCTGCCAGGGGGAGAGGAGGGCTGCTTACTGGCTGCTTCCCTACAGATCCTCCCCCGCAGGGGTCCCCCTGGCTCCCTGCAGGGGCGCCGCTCTCCCCCCACCTAGGTGACTTGCATGGGGGGTGTTCTCTCCCCCCGGTTACCTGCATGGGGGGCTCTCCCCCCGGTTACCTGCACAGGTGTGTTCTCTCCCCGCTTACCTGCTGTGATGAACTGGGACTGTTCTTAATGTGGTCTTTGAATGCTGAGTGGGGAGCTTGGCTGGGACAGTCTGCACTGGGGGATGGGAGACTGACCTTGAGGGAAGATACCTGAGCATGTAACATGAGAACCCAGGAGGGGGCTGGGGCCAGGTGACACCTCAGCCCGGGGAAACTGGACAAAGGCGGGGGGAGGAGCCGGGGGAGGAGGGGTGAGAAATGCTGGAGGGAGTTGAGGTTGGTCAGGAGCTGGCTGGTAATGGAGGGAGCCCAGGTGGGGCTCTGCCCCCCCAATGGGGCTGTGGTGCCCCTGGGACCCCAAGATGGACCTAACTGGGGGAGGATCCTGTTGTCTGTCCCTGCAAGACCTGTCTTGGACTGTGTCCCTGTCGTCTAAATAAACCTTCTGCTTTACTGGCTGGCTGAGAGTCCTGGTGAATCGCAGAAAGCCGGGGGTGCAGGGCCTTGTGTCCCCCCACACTCCGTGACACCTGCATGGGGGGCTCTCCCCCTGGTTACCTGCACAGGTGTGTTCTCTCTCCCCAGTTACCTGCATGGGGGTGCTCTCAGCCGACAGGGCTGTGAACCCCACAATGTCGCTGAAGTAGATGGTGACGCTGTCGAAGGCCTCGGCCTGCACCGTCTCCCCGCGCTTCAGCTGCTCGGCCACGGAGCTTGGGGGGAGCAGGTCAGTGTGAGCTGCTGCCCCAGACTGGTGGCCCCACCGTTGTGAAATGGGAGCAAGGCAGGAGCACCAGGCCCCTGCACCTCCCACCCCTCCCCCACCCCCCCGCCCAGGCACGGGGCTGGGTGCACCAGTGCTAAGACCTCTAACCCCCAGCCACTCCCGCGACTCTGCCCATCAGCCCCCTTGCCCCCCCAGTCAGTCTGGGGGCCAGGGCGAGGGAGGGTTTCTGAGGGAATGGCAAGGATCCTGTGGGGCTCTGGGAGGGCCCAAGGGGCGCTCAGTGGTGGCTCAGGCATCTGCTGCTTGACACCCCTCCCCCAAACCCGTCCCCAGACCTGCCCCCCACAAGCCCCCAGCCCAACCATTGCACAGCTTCTGCGCTGCCCCCCCCACTCCAGGCTCTGGGCAGGGGCACCCTCCTGACTCAGTGTGCGAGGGTGGGCGGCCAGCCAGGGCAGGGGAGTACGTCTGTGCCTCTCACCTCAGGGGGCCGCCCTGACCTACTGACCTAACTCCTCGGGCTCACCGAGGCCCAGCCCACCTGCCCTCCCCTGCTTGTGCCAAAGTCCCAGGCAATATGCATGTGCACCGGGTGCTGACACCCCCTCGCCAGTGCACACGCCTGGGGGCACGCTGCCCCGCACCCCACTGCACCCTCATGGAGGTGCTCTGCACACCCAGCCCGTGCCAGCACACACCCGTGGGGGAGCTTGGCATATGCCCCCCCCCGGCTCTCCCCCTTGCCAGCACATGCCCAGGGGCTTGTGTGGGTCTCTTACTGGGGTAGGATCTGGTAGAGCAGGTTCTCGGCCTTGCGCTTCTCCTCCAGGTAGGCCTGCGTCCGCTCCTCCACCAGCTTCTCCAGGTTGTTGGCGTACTGCTCCATGCGCGACAGCAGGTTGTCCAGGATGCTGGTGCTGCCTTCCCTGCAGAGACAGGCCGGCAGGGAGGAGGAGACTTATGGGGGGACCTTGTGTCCACGACACGGGGGGAACCATAACGCCCACCCCCCCCAGTGCCTGCTCCCCAAGGGCTGTTGCTCCCCAGTCTACTCCTGGGGCTGGCACTCAAGGAGAGGCTGTGGCACCACACAACCCCGGCTGGTACGGTGACCGAGTGGGAAATTTCTGGAATATGTTACATGACCTTTTAGTGTGCCTCAGTTTCCCCTATATTTTTCATGGCTCCGGGGGTGGGGGGGTAGAAAAGACACAGGTCTGAACGTCACCCTGCTGGGTCTGAGGCCGGCCCCATAGCAATGGAGGATCCGAAAACCCAGTCACCAGGCAGGACAGTGACACCTGGCACCCAACGCCCCTGAGCGTGCCCCAGCTGAGAACACGGGACTGGGGAGGTGGGAGATAAGACCATGTAATGCTCCTGTGTTCACACGCACTCCCCGTCCTGCGTCCCCGCCCCCTCCCCCGTCCCAGCCCTGCCCCCACGCCCGACACCTCCCCCAGCGCCCCCCTCGTGCGGCTGCGCCCCAAGCCCGGTCCCACCCCAGCCGGGGCACCCACTTGTTGAATCTGCGGATGAAGATCTTGAGCTGGGTGAAGTCGGGGCGCTCGGCGGGCTCCTGCGCCCAGCAGCGCTCCATCAGCACGGCCAGCTCCTCGCTGTGCAGACCCAGGTCGATGGAGGGCCGGAAGTACGGCTTCTGGCTGTTCCGCACCTTCTGCACAATCTCTGCGGGGACGGGAGCGTCACCAGCCTGGGCCAGCCGGGGGACCAACGCCCGCGCTGCCGGCTGAGCGGCCGGGGTGTCTTCGCCCTGGGCTGGACCAGCCCTCGCACCTGGGGTCCGGGTCCCCGTCGCCCCATCCCTAGGGACCAGCCCTGCCCCCCCGAACTCTGACCTTGGGGTCCAGACCCCGCCACCCCATCCCTAGGGACCCAGCCCTGTCCCCCTTAACTTGCACCTGGGGTCCGGGCCCCTGCCACCCCATCCCTAGGGACCCAGCCCTGTCCCCCTTAACTTGCACCTGGGGTCCGGGCCCCTCGCCACCCCATCCCTAGGGACCCAGCCCTGCCCCCTTAACTCGCACCTGGGGTCCGGGCCCCACTGCCCTGTCCCTGGGGCCCCAGCCCTGCCCCCCCTGCAGCGTCTCACCTCGGGGTCCAGGCTCACCCTGCCCCGTCCCTCAGGCCCCAGCCCTGCCCCCCTGCACGCTGAGCTCTGGGGTCCAGGCCCCACCGCCCCGTCCCTAGGGCCCCAGCCCTGTCCCCCTGCACGCTGAGCTCTGGGGTCCAGGCCCCACCGCCCCGTCCCCAGGGCCCCAGCCCTCTCCCCCTGCACGCTGAGCTCTGGGGTCCAGGCCTGACGACCCCGTCCCTAGGGCTCGAG